AAGAAAGAAAGAAAGAAAGAAAGAAAGAAAGAAAGAAAGAAAGAAAGAAAGAAAGAAAGAAAGAAAGAAAGCTGAGCCTCACTGGAGGCTTTCAGGAAGAGACTGGATTGTCATCTGTCAGAAATGGTGCAGTAGGGTTTTCTGCTTGGGCAGGGGGTTGGACTAGATGACCTATAAGGTCCCTTCCAACTCTGAGCATCTGTTATCTGGTGAAAGAACTTGTCTGGTGGCCAAGGGAGAAGACAGCCAGCCAATTTTTTGAAGGAGCCCCTTCATTCTGAAGACTTTTGGAGCCTGTCTTGTGCCCCCTTCCTCCTCGTCCTTACACCCGGGTGTCCCTTGCGTACATCTTGGCCGTGGCAGTCGGCACAGACGGATGGCAGGAGAAAGTCATGGCAGGAGGCAGGTAGACCTTCCGTAAAGCACCGGAATAAAAGTCCTTCCCTGAGTTGGCATCTAAGAACCGAGAGACGAAAGACAAGAGACACGGCTTTAGCAAACTGGCAATCGTGGACCTTGTAGTATATCGGTGGCTAAACTCTTGGAGTAAGAGGTTCTCCAGGGGTAGGCAAGACAGCCAAGGGGAAATATGCCACAGAGCGCATGCAGGTAGCCACATGTAGGGGGGGAGGGGTCTGCGGCTCTTTAAAGCAGCTGCCCCTGCAATTATATAACGTGGATTTGAAAAAGATGCAGTTGTGACGAAGCCAGGTTTTTCTACCACGGAGTCTTTAAGGTGTGTGGAAATTCAGCTCCCAGCATTCCCCAGCCAACATAGGCAGGTAGTCAAAGGGAGATGGCCTGCAGCTCTTTAAAGCAGCTGCTTCTATAGTGGTCCTATGAACCTGGGAGGAAGTCCAGTTATAACCCTGCAATAAAGCAGGGTTTTCCCAACGGGGCAGCTTTAAGATGTGTGGATTTCAACTCCCACCACTGGAGAATCCCAGACATCTTAGTCTCCCAGGTGGGAAAACCCTACTTTATCACACAACTGGACAACTATAGAAGCAGCTGCTTTAAAGAACTGCAGATGGAGGAGGAGGAGGAAAAGGAGGAGGAGGAGGAGGAGGAGGACTGTGGGGTCCTTGGTGCTCTCTGGCCTTGGTGGTTTTCTTGCAGATGTTTCCTGACCCAACTAGGGAACAGCATCAGTGCTAGAAGGGAGGGGGGTTTGCGGAGAGGAGGAGGAAGAGAAGGAGGAAGAAGAAGAAGAAGAGGAGGAGGAGGAGGAGGAGGAGGAGAAGGAGGAAGACTGTGGGGTCCTTGGTGCTCTCGGTGCTTGACTGTTTCCTTGCAGACGTTTCCTGACCCAACTAGGGAACAGCATCAGTGCTAGAAGGGAGGGGGGGTTGCGGAGAGGAGGAGGAAGAGAAGGAGGAAGAAGAAGAGGAGGAGGAGGAGGAGGAGGAGGAGGAGGAGGAGGAGGAGGAGGAGAAGGAGAAGGAAGACTGTGGGGTCCTTGGTGTTCTCGGTGCTTGACTGTTTCCTTGCAGACGTTTCATGACCCAACTAGGGAACATCATCCATGCTAGAAGGGAGTGGGGGGGAGGAGGAAGGGGAGGGTCCTTGGTGCTCTCTGACCTTGCTTGTTTCATTACCCAAACTAGGTAACATCATCAGTGCTAGGTGGGAGGGGGGGTTGCACTCGTTTTATATTCTACTTGCACTGATGATGTTAGCTAGTTGGGTCATGAAACGTCTGCAAGAAAACCACCAAGCTCAGGGAGCAACAAGGATCCCACAGTGCTCCTCCTCCTCCTCTCTCCAATCTCCACTCCCATCCAGCACTGATGAGGTTAGCTAGTTGGGTCATGAGACGTCTGCAAGAGAGCAGTGGAGTTCAGAGAGCAGCCAGGGCCCCTCGTGTCAACCCTGATCGACCAAGATTCTCCTCCGTGAGGGTCTGAGCTCACCTTGGAGAAGGCGCCCGCAGCAGGTTAAGAAGGCCCCAGCCAGGAAGCATCCCAAGGAGCCACCCAGTCCGAGCCAGCAGGACCAGCCAAACTCATACTGGGTGCCCACAAAGACGTTGTGCAAGACCAGGGCGGAGCGCTCCACGTAGACCTCAATGGCGTACCAGGTGGAGCCGATGAGTCCAGGAATACCTGTGAAAGAGAGAGGGTGGGAAGGGAGGGAGGGGGAGAGAGAGAGAAGGAGAGAGAGGGGGAGGGAGGGAGAGAGAGAGGGAGTGGGAGGGAAGGAGAGAGAGAGGGAGAGAGGGAGAAGGAGGGAGGGAGGGAGGGAGAGAGGGAGGGAAGAAGAGAAAGAGGGAGGGAAGGAGAGAAAGAGGGAGGGAAGGAGAGAGAGAGGAAGAGAGGGAGAGGGAGGGGGAGAGGAAGAGGGAGGGAAGGAGAGAGGGAGGGAGGGAGGGAGGAGGGAGAGGGAGAGAGAGAAGGAGAGAGAGGGGGAGGGAGGGAGAGGGGGGGAGAGGGAGAGAGGGAAGGAGAGAGGGAGGGAGAGAGGGGAGGATACACACACACACACACACACGAATATATGCATGGGACAAGGACTTCTGGGAGTGCAGCCCCATGCAAGCCTCCCATATCGACCCAACGACACCCCCCTCCCCAGACCAGACCCTGTGGGCCCAACTACCTCCCGTTAAGAGGGCCAATCCAGAGACGAAGCAGATCCGGTCCTTGGTCCCTGGTTCCTCCAGGAGGAACTTCACACAGTCCAGGCCCAGGAGGAGAAACACGAATCCGAGTCCGGCCAGAAGGTCAGCGGTGATCAGCAGAACCCGGGTCAGGACCAGCTTCACTGCAAAAGAAGCCGGGTGGGTTGGGGGAAGGAAGAGTTCGGAGCGAGGCCTCCCCAGCAGCACGAATCCGACTCCCCGTCCCGATAAAACCCCTTTTTATTTGGTTTCAAGGGACTTCCTCTCCAGCAAAGTCCCGGCCAACAACCCTTTCATGAGAATCTCATGAGATTTCACAACTACAGAGACCTTGATCAGGCTTGGAGAGTTGCCAGGCCGATAGCTTCCAAACGCCACACTGTAGCAGCAATTACTTGGCAAGAATGTAGGAACAGATCTCCACCCAAATGAATTGAACTAATTGCCTCCTGCAAACCCCACTCCCCTTTCGCTCCTCTTTTATTCCTTATTATGGGAAGGGCCATTCATCATCCACCTGTGGCTTTACTCCCAAGTCAGCCCTTGTTCCTTAGCTGTTCCCTTCATCTGGCAGCTCTGCGCATGTGCACACTGGGAACAGGCTCCGGCTGTTCTTCTTCCCCACTGATCTCCGGCTCCGAAGGCAGCTGATAATTGTCGGACGGCCCTGGCCCCGTCTCTGCCTCCAACGTAGAGCCCTCATCTGAGCCTTCCCTAGACTCCAGGACTGGCCCAGTTTCCTCCCCCAACCTCCTCACTGTCCCAGTCTGCCACCAGCTCCTCTGGCCACTGGTGGGCCACAGCAGGATGATTGGTAGAACCCCCTACTCTAGGTGTAGCCCCGTAGCCCTGAACTGGAGGTTCTCCAGCGTGGAAGGGGATCTTTGGGTGAAGGATTACTTCCTGAAACTTCTTCCAGAAAGGCAAATGCCACCAAGGATGGACTTGGTTCTTCTAGATCGGGGGTGTTCACGGAGGGCCTCAGGGCAACATGGGGCTCTAGGCATGTGGGGCCCTCCAGAGACCATCCATCACCACCTGGGATATTTTAACAAGACGAAAGAGGGAGGAGACGGGAATCACACAGCATACTACAGATACTCTTTGTCTCTGTACCATCTGAGGTTACGACGGCCCTGAAAAAAGGGACTTAGGATCATGGTTCACACTTACGACCATTTCAGCCTCCCCGTGGTCAAAAACCAGGCGCTTGGCAACTGATTCACATTTATGACGGCCACAGTGTCCCCGGGGGTTAGGTGATCCCCTTTGGCGACCTTCTCATAAGCAAAGTCAACGGGAGAAGCCAGATTCACTGAACGACCATGTGACTAACTGAACCATGGCTGTGATTCACTTAACAATGGTGGCGAGAGAGGTCTTAAAATGGGGCGAGACTTGCTTAACAATGGTCTCACCCAGCAACGGAAACCTTGGCCGCCACTGTGGCCGTAAGTCGAGGACTACCTGTGTAGATGACCTCCCGGGTCCCTGTGAATCCTCCCCTTCAGGCCTGGCCCACCTACCTGGGTGCTCGGCGAAGATGGAGTCGTATTCGTCACAGGTAGTTATCCCATCGAAGGCATTGGTGACACACTCCCACCAGAGGCCACGGCATGTGGCACTCACCTTAGGGGATAGACAGGTTAACGGAGTCGGGAAGGGCCTTGTGGGTCATCCAGTCCAACCCCCAACCCCCTGGTGGTTATTTTTGTGGCTGCTACAATTCGGAAAACCATGGTTGCCTTCACAGCATGGTATTAACCCGGCTGTTCTAACGAACCCGTTTTGTGCATTCGCACAATACCCCAAAGTAAGAGCTGAGTCACACCACTAAGCTGGCAGGAATAGCCAACACCCAAGAAGATGAGCTCAAGATCCAGATGGATCTTGACAGACTAGAACCCTGCGCCCTATCTAACAAAATGAAATTCAATATAGAGAAAAGTAAAGTCTTACACTTAGGCAAGAAAAACCAAAAAGACACATACAGACTGGGTGAAACCAGGACTCAATAGCAGGAACTGGGAAGGATATCTTGGAGTCTTTGTGGACAACCAGCTACATAGGAGCCAGCCGTGTGCAGCCGCCGCCAAAAAAGCCAACACAATCCTAAGTTGCATTAACAGAGGGATACATTTGAGATCAAGGGAGGTACTAATACCACTCACTAAAGCCTTAGTAAGGCCACACCTAGAGTACTGCATCCAGTTTTGGTCACCACACTATCAAAAAGAGGTTGAGGCTCTAGAAAAAGTGCAGAGAAGAGCAACCAGGACGATTAGGGGCCTGGAGACTAAAACAAATGAAGATCGGTTGCAGGAACTGGGCCTGGCTAGTCTAGGGAAGAGAAGGACCAGGGGAGACAGGAGAGCAGCCTTCCAATATTTGAGGGGCTGCCACAGAGAGGAGGAGGAAGGGGGTCAAGCTATTTTCCAAGGCACCCGAAGGCCAGACAAAGAATAATGGATGGAAACTGAACAAGGAGAGATTCAACCTGAAAATAAGGAGAAACTTTCTGACAGGGGGAACAAACAACCCGTGGAACAGAAATTGCCTTCAGAAGTTATGGGAGCTTCATCACTGGAGGCTTCCAAGAAGAGACTTGACTCCCCTCTGTCAAAAATGGTGTAGGGTCTCCTGCTTGGGCAAGGAGTTGGACTAGATGACCTACAAGGTCCCTTCCAACTCTGACTATCTGTTATTATCCGTTACCATGGCTGGGTTTTACACACAACGCGCTAAACCAACCTCCCCTTTCCCAAATTGGCATCCAAGTCAACCGGTCGTGTGAAAAGCCCCCGCTAGACTTTATTCGAGGTGGAGAATTAATGTTGCGTGAGAAAGGACAGCGACCCCGGAGGAGAGGAGAGACTCGGAAGGGCAAGGAAGGTGTTGCTGGGAGCTGAAGAGGGAAAAACATGCATCTCCGATCTTAAGCGGAGGCCGAACTGGAATCGGAAGCGATCGAGTCGTTAAGGGCAAGAAATAGAATCTGGCTCACAATAGGACGGGAGGTTTTGATAGTCGGACAGCAGAGGAGATGGGAGAAATACACGGTTGACTTGGTGGCCTGCCCCCAACATCTCTCTAGCGGCTCTTGGTCTCATAGAATCCTTGGGTCCTCGGAGGTCATCTAGTCCAACACCCGGCTCAAGCAGGAACCACCCAGCATCATTTCGGACAGGTGGCTGTGTCTTCTTAAAAACCATTTTCAATAAAAAGAAGGAAGGGAAGGAGGGAGGGAGGGAGGGAGGAAAAAAGGAAGGAAGGAAGGAAAGGAAAGGAAAAAAGAGGGAAGGGAGGAAAGGCAAGGAAGGATGGAAGAGGAAGGGAGGGAGGGAGGGAGGGAGGGAGGGAGGGAGGGAGGGAGGAAGGAAGGAAGGAAGGAAGGAAGGAAGGAAGGAAGGAAGGAAGGAAGGAAAAGAAAATAGTGGAAAGGGAGGAAAGGAAAGGAAGGATGGAAGAGGGAGGGAGAAAGGAAGGAAGGAAGGAAGGAAGGAAGGAAGGAAGGAAAGGAAAAGAAAAAAGAGGGAAGGGAGGAAAGGAAGAATGGAA